CCTTGTTCCCCCGCAAGGGGATGGGAACCAAATCAACCAAATAGTGCTCCTCAAATAACCTTAGGACATAATCCCTGAATACTGCCAACACTCGCACCGATCGATCATCGGCAATCTCTACCTCTAAAGGGCAATCCAACATGCCTGAAGACTCAGTAAACTTCTTTCTAAGCGCAAGGGAAACAAATGACCGGGTGGCACCCGAGTCAAACAACACCTAAACAGGAATACCGTTCACATGGAACGATCCTAACGCATACACACAGAGCACATATCAATATCATAACATCATAAAATTAAGATAGAGGGAAAGAATCATATCCATCACCACGTCGGGTGCGGTGCGAGCCTCCTCTGAAGTTAGCTGAAACGCCCGGCTCCTCACCATTGGAGCCTCTGCCTTGCCCTGCTGGCCATCTGTAATCCGCAGGGTAGCTGGAGCTGGCGCCTTAACCGGCGTTGATGCTGTCAAGTGGGGGTAATTGGCCTTTTTGTGGCCCCTCTGGTTGTAGTGGAAACACAGCAACTCCGATGTCTGAATCACAGGTGTAGGGGCGGTACAATCCCTGCTAAACTGCCCTACCTTTCCGCACCTGTAGCAGCCTGATGATCCCAACTTGCACGCTCCCTCGTGCATCTTGTCGCATTTCCTGTAGCGACCCCGCCCCTATTGGCCTTTCGGCCCAGCATCTGGTCCCTTGGGCTTCTTCCCCGAAGCCCCCATAACATTCCCTTCCCCCGCCTTCCTCTTTCGGATGTGCTCTAGGTCTATCTCCCTCTCTCTTGCCCTGGAAATCATAGAGTCCAGGGTAGGGCAAGCTGAAAAACTGACATGCTCCTGAATATCAGCTCGTAGCATGTCATGATAGCGGGTCCTCCTCATATCCTCGTCACCCGCATATTGGGGCACCAGCAACGCCCTCTCCCGGAACTTGGCGGTGATCTCCGCCACAGTCTCCGTCATCTGTCTCATATCTAGGAACTCCCTGGCCAGCTGCTGAAGCTTGACCGCCAGTGCAAACTCTGCCCTGAACCTAGTCACGAAGTCCGACCAGGTCATAGCCTCACAGCCGAGGCTCCCAACGAGTCACCAACGGACTCCCACCAATCCCTAGCTCGATCTCTCAAGCTTCCTACTGCATATCTCACCTTTGACCCCTCAGGGTAGAAGCTAGTCAACTGTGCAGACTCAATATCTGCGATCCATCGTCTGACAGCTATGGGGTCCTTCGCCCCGTGAAAATCCGGCGCATCACTGCCCCGGAAGTCCTTGAAGGACAGTGCGCGAGATCCCGACTAGCCAGATGCCATGTCGCTCCTGAATGCCCTGAGGCGATCCTCCATCATCTCCAATATCCCTTCCTTGATCGACCCGAAGATAATGGGGGTCGACTCAAGGATGCCTTTGGTGATCTTTGACGCGATGAACTCGCACAGCCCCTCATCTACTGGCTCGGAACCTGATCCTGAACCCGATACCTCTCCTGTATTGCCAACTGCTGGCCTTGAGCGTAGTACCACCATTCTGAAATACAAAAATAATAACCGTTAGTGATACTGATACATCTAGAGGGATCACACCTACTACAAGTTCCCTGGTCTTATCTTGGCCTTCGTCGGTTCGGGTACGGATCCTCTGGTTTTAGTAGTACGGGCCCATACTACCTTCCACATCTATCCGTACCTCCTCCAAGGACTGCCTTGACTCCACCAAATCCCTTTTGCTACCGCTGATCTTTGCGACTCTTATCCTAGGCTTACCCTAGGAAACCTCTAACTCTACCTAATCCAGTCCTCAGATGCTGAAGGCCTCCTTGTAATGCCAATTATCCTTTACCAGAATACCATCACATGTGGCGAGGCTCATATAATCCTTCGAGTAAAAGACTCGTCCCTACAATGGTTAGACTCAAACAAGAGTTGCGCAATAGGGCCAAATCTATCACTCTGAGATTATTCAACCCTGATCACATGTGACGTGACGTATTCACCTAATGGCTAGCTCCCATCACTCCGAGTCCCACAAAGCACAAAGCAAGCAACATTCGGACACAGGAGACTACTCAAGTAACTCTATTCTCATAACAAGAAACTGTACTAGCATACAATGTTGAACACATACTATCAGGCATAACCTAGTCAGGTTATCCTACTGCTGTCTACTCAGTACTAGCATGCAATTCTCATAGAGTTAAACACATAAAGCATCCTCCTAGATCCTTAGTCCTATACTAGCATGTTGTTCTACTGAAACTGATAAACATAACATAAGCTGGTATGGGTACTTTGGGGAATACTTACTTGAGCTTGGCCGGTCACGCACATCACACACTTTGTTCTTTCTTGACACCCTTTACTTAGCTTTTTAGAAAACATTTTCTTTTTTCAAAATCTTTTAATCCCTCGAATTGAGTTCAAACACCCCCAAAGGTGTGTCTGAATCCCTCATACCAGGGCTCTGATACCAACTGGTAACATCCTAAAAATACGAGCCAAAAATTTCATTTTTAAAACATATTCTTAGAGAAACTTAAAAATAAAACGTTCACTGATCATATCATTTCATAAAAGTTAATGCATGTCTTGAAAAAAATTTCATAAAAACATAATAAAGTCAGAGTACAAATTCCCAGGAGGATCTCATAGTATGAAATACAAGGCGTGTGTGTGATGGGCCGTTACCGCGCCAGCTCCTTCCCCTTCGAAGAAGAGGTACCTGAAACCAAAATTGAAAACTGTAAGCACGAAGCTTAGTGAGTTCCCCCAACATACCACATACCATACAATCACATAACATATAAATATTGTCAGGCATATCAGGGTGCCCGACATACCCCTTCGATCCTCTCGACCGGATACTGACCAGTATATCTGGGAGCTTGCCTCCCCTTCGGTCCTCATGAACGAACACTGACTAGCATATTTGGGTGCTGGTCTCCCCTTCGGTCCTCTCGACCGGATACTGGGGACTATTTCACCCCTACCACTACCACATAACACATATGTCTCATAAACTATCTAGCATGGCTGGGCATAACCGCCCCTTCGGCCCTATCGATCGGTGTTCTAGGGGACTATCTCCCCCTACTATCACTAGCACATAGCATCATATCATACTAGCATAATAACATATCACAGGTAGTAGCAAACCTAGATGAATATCACAGAGACAAACATCTATCATACAATCCTACTGGTGGGCCAACATTGTGGTCGTAGACCCACCGCTACTAGAAGGTAACTCACCTCAAAGTAGCTACTGATCTGCGTGGGAACTGACAGTTGTTGCCTAGGAAATCCTCCGGCTAAAATCCCCACAAAACACTCAGTCAAATGCTGCTAATCGACCTTAGGGTAAAATGACCATTTACCTCTAACTAATCCAAGAGTCAAAGTCAAGGTCAACTTCCAGTTGACCCGACTCGCCGAGTTGGCCTGGCAACTAGCCGAGTCCCTATCCCTTTATCTGACCATGTCCCTTCTCTACTCGTTGAGTTTGGCATCGACTCGATGAGTTTTCCTTCTAAACTGATATCCAACGACCTTCATCCTACTCGCCGAGTTGTATGAACAACTCGTCGAGTTCGTCTTCATCCGAAGAACACACTATGCTGAGACTCGCCGAGCTGTATGAACAACTCGCCGATTTTGTTCTTGAGGCAAGAAGATTGCCTTGGACTCGCCGAGTCATGGCATTGACTCGCCGAGTTTCTTCATGGGTGAGTCTGGCTTCCGACTCATTGAGTCACACCCCATGACTCACTACTCCACTCCGCAAACACGAAAAGGGGGAGAACTCGGGGACTCACGACTCGACTCACCGAGTCCGATGAACAACCCGCTGATTCTTTTGCATGCAAACACTATATACTCGATTTTGCTCGAATCCAGCTCAAGCCATACATAGATCTGGGTATCTAGGGCCTGATTAACAAGTAAATTTTCCAACTTTACATGTAAATAAACACCAATGAAGGTTTTAGGGCTCAAAATGCACTAAAAGAGTAGATCTAGGGCTTTCATGCAATATGGCTCCATAAAGGCAGGAGACATGAGCTCATGGAGCTCAATTATGCCTAGATCTAAGGGTTAATCAACTTATTACAAACCCTAATTCGCGATCAAGCTTGGAAATGGCTCAAGGAGGACTTTAATGGAGCTATAAGGGACTATAAGCATGAAAACAGGGGGAAATTGAGTTATACCTCAAGGAAATCACTAAGATGACACAAGGATGCCTGGCCTCCTTCTTCTCTTCTTGATCTACTCATCTTTCTTCTGAAAATCTTCAAGAAACACACCAAAGCACTTTAATCTCACAAGGAATAAGGGTTTGAACGATGTTGGGAGCTCTGAGGGTGAAGGGGGCGAGGTTGGGGCGCATAAGGTTGGTTTAAATTGGGTGTAAACCCTTGAAATTTAGGGTTTCAACAGACAGCAGGGACTCGCCGAGTCTAAAATATGGACTCGTCGATTCGCTAACTTAAACGTGTTCCAAGTCCCATCTCTACTTGGCAAGTCGGGCCTACAACTCGCCGAGTCCAAAGCTAAAAATGCAAAACAGTTAGATAAATTTTACATACCAGGAACCAGGTGCTACATTGTTTTTCATGTCGGGCATGAGTTTGCTTGATCAGAATGTTAGTGGCAGAAATCATGTCATCATGTACTTTAAGGATTGTGATGACTATGAAGATGTGATAATCCATGTTTTCCTTGTAGTGTGCTTTGGCATCTTCAAGAGTGTGACTGAGACAAAGCGAGATAAGCTGGTCCAAGTGATTGGCTATGTCAATTTCCAAGGGAGCAGCAGGTTGGATCTCAAAAAGAGACTTGAGGATAACTTGGAGTTTGGAATCATGACTTGTGACTTTCTGGTCGAGTTTCATGTCAAGGCCTAATAGCTTTAGATCAACCTTATCAACTTTGGGGTTTGTTGCAGTAATATTGTCTCGAAGTTCAAACAAGGCAAAAGGATCTACAATGTTTTCATCGAAGGATCATGTATCCGAGGTGGAACTTTCTAATGTCTTGTTATTTTCATATTCAGCATCAATTGGCTTTGTAGGCTTAGAATCATCAATTAGATCATCTTGAGTTTTTTCACCTTGATCACCTTCCAAGGTAGCTTCAGGAGGAGGAGACGCGTGCCTGTTTCCTTTAAATTTCTCTTCTTCTTCTTCAAATTGCTCAAAATATGAGGAGAGTCCAAAATCAAAACATGGTTTTCATGAAGAAGGTTTCTACACTAGATTGAAGGTAGTGGGAACCTGAATAACACCAACGAAAGTGTTGTGATCATCAAAAATAATCTCATCGGAAGAATCATCTTCAACATCAAGATCAGGAACTTCTGCACTCGTAAACGTTCGAGGATCGTCCAAAGCATTTGTGGAATCGAGAATATCTCTTGTTGCAGCAACTTCATTCTGAGGAGGATCATCCACTATGTTGTCAGAGGTGGGAACTTCTTCACTCGGAGTATTCTTCAAGGAATCAATGAACACTTGAATCTCTAGATTTTTCTCTTTATTTGATGGAAATATTAAGTTAAGATGACTTCGAACAGCTCATTGCAGAATAGAAATGAGCGCGTATTCAATTTGTTCTCTGGTGAGCTTCAGATGCCTTATATGAGCCCTGTTAACAAAATCTGACCAATATTTGTCAAAAATACCCGATCGTCATTTACCTGAACCAGGTATCATACCAGATGTGGCTTTCGAAGGAAGGACTACTCTGACTTCGGAAAGCTTGGAATTAGTGACAGAGGTCACAAATTGTGCTTATGTTGAAGAGAAAGGAATGTTTAAATTGACTCATGAGTGTAGAAACCCATTTTGTCGATTGGATTGGTGTGGAATAATATTATCAAGAAAAATAATCGTTTGAACAATGAAGAACATAATATGTGAGTAAATTGATAATGAATAGATAGAGAGATACATAATGTTACATGAACAACACTCATGGCTAGGGAGAATCCTAGCCAAACACTCTCTAATCTAACTGTCTACAAGGTGCACACATCAAATAAAAGACCACTCACCTCCACTTTATATACTAGTGGAAGGAATATGCTTTCCATACAAGGGAATGTTCTAACATAATAAATCACACATCATTGTAGAGCATTTTCATGCTCCAACAATCTCCCACAATATGCTCAAAATAGTAAAGGTAAAGCAGTGAGAAAAGGCAGAACATCTGATGGGCATGTCTGGTAGGTCTGGTGTTGAAGTGTCTCGGAGAAGCTGAAGTCGACTTGATCTTAGAATCTATAAATGGAATCTCTATCATCAAAGAACATGCAGAGGAACCAATCTTTGAATAAAAATATGAAATCCTAATCTTCGAATGTGATCAGTCCCCAAAAACCAATCATGTTCACAGTCTCCCCCTCGAATGTTGAACCGAAGAGCACACTGTCGAGTCACATAGCGTCTTCAATATTTTGAACTCGAGTGATAATGCACCAAATAATCTCTTAAGAATAATTTGCTGAAAATGTGAAGCATCCAAAAGTAAAGCCTGAATAATAAATAATGTGAATCTGAAGACATGGTCTAGCTATGCCAAAATTTTGATCGGAAGATCAAAAATAAGTGCCACGTCACATCGCCAAAATAATATTCATCTTCAAAATTTTTGCAAATCCAAACTCGAACAATCATCAGATCTGATCCGAATGCTAACACAAATGAGACATCCCAAAATATAAAGTCTGAAGATAAATAAATGTAATCCAAAGAACATCTGGTAATGCTAAAAATTCGATATATAAAGATCAAAAAATCAGTGTCTAATCACATTACTAAATCGATCTCCGTCTTCAAATGTCTCTAAAATCAAAAGTCCAATAATAAATCATAATGGATGCTCATGATTCTCCCACTATCTTTTACCTACCATGCAATAAAGATAAAAAATAATCATAAAAATGAGCAAGAGAATATGTCGAATATGATGGAGCATCGCACGCTCCCCCTTGATGTAAGCATCTACCCATAAAAATGAGTATATTATTTTTCGATCATCATTATTTTTCGGTCATGGGTAGACTTGGTGATGTATTGTTGAACTAAATAAACACTATAGAATATATATATATATATATATATATATATATATATATATATATATATATATGATAAAATCCTCTACTGAAGAATCATAATGTTGAACTGAAGTGATGCTGATAACCGAAATGCGAACCCGAACTCCCAAAACACAACCAATGACTTGTCAATCACAGATTAAAGTGAGTCGGCCAAAACCTCTAATTAGACCAAATGATGGTTTGAGAACATATGTACCCAGTCAAAAGGAAGTAAAATGCGAACCTCGGAAAGATCCAAACCTTGGAAAACGCTGTTGATCAGGCAAGTTTCCAAAAGAAAATTTGTGGATTCGAATCTCTGAAGAATAAAAATTTAAGGGTGCAAATGCGAGTTGCTCGGAGAGAGGAAGAGCACACATATAATAATCTCTTAACCAACTATGTCATCACTTATAATCAGAAAGAAGAAAGAAGCCTTGAACCATAGGGCTAATATTGGTGTTAAAAGTGGTTTTAAAAAAATAGTTTAGAAAAATAATGGGTGTTGAATAAAATAAATGGTTTTAAATGGAAAAAAATTAAAAAAAAAATAATCGACAAGGTGGTCTCGGACCAAATAAATCCGAAGTAAAAAAAATAGTTTTAAAATGGATCCGAAGTGAGTAAAAAAAAGTCAAATCCAAAGAGAGGAGGTCAGAAGTGCTTGCCACGAAAGGGAAGGGAGGGTATTACAGAGATGGATCTCGGACCTTATATCTAGACCGAGATGGGTGACGTGAACAGGGTCTTTGGAAGGTTGAATCTGAGATGGATCGTTCAGAATGGCAGTGGGTCTTGGAAGGCAAAGCCCTTAAGAGGATCAACCCGAGACAGGGTGTAAGGCGTGTACTCCAAAATCAAAGTGTCTCGGAAAAAGAGTGTATCGTCAGAAAACAAGGTGTTCACCTCAGAATGTAGATCAGATGAGAAGTGATGTTTGAAGCGATGTGAAGGCTTCAGGTGTGAGTATTCTCGGAATGGGAGGCATCTTCGAACAACATGCTTTTTGCTGGATTAGTGTCTAAGTCCATAACTATTTTGGTATGTACTTGACCCGATGGTGCATGGTCCTTTTGGGTTGCCTTCACCAAAGCAACTTGATAGGATGAATTATGGAGAGAAAGGATTAAATATGATTTATTAATGTATTATGAGAATAATATATTAAAAGAGAAATCATATTGTTTAATTAATATTAGTCAATAATTAATTGGTAATTAGTTTTGTGACTAAAAGAGATTAATTAAACTTAAGGGACTGGAATTGTAATTATAAGATAATTATAATTTGGGCCATGGATTGCCTTATATTAAGGGGTGGACGATTTCATATGGGCTTCCCCATAGAATTAGTCCAAGGCCTTAAAGAAAAGGCTCCATGGGTTGCTTAGGGCTTAAGCATCCAAATTAGGGTTTCCTTGTTAGATAACCCTAATAGCCTTACTATATATAAGACCCTTATGACCCAAAAACGTGGCTAATGATCTTTCTAGGGTTTCACACGTTTTTGGGCAGCTTCCAACCTCTCTCCTCTTCATCCTCTTGCTTATGGTGTTTGTGATCCATTAGAGGAGTGACACTTGTGACTCTAAGCCTTCCAAAGTCAATTCAAGGAGATTTGGGATTGTTATTGCTACATAACAATCAAGGTAACATTATAAAATTATTCTTATGGCTAATATGATTATTTGAATGCTACAATTAGGGTTTATAGTCTTGGATAACTTGCATGTACAATAGAGAAACCTAGATCCAAGCTTTAGGGTTTGTATGAGCACATAGGATGTTCTTAGGACCAAAACTCATCAGTGGTATCAGAGCCTAGCTTGGTTTCAATTGTATTGATGCATTGTATAACTGAAAAAATCATTTTTTGGTTTTTTGGAGGTTGGACTCGCCGAGTCCATAGCTGAACTCATCGAGTCCGTGCAGACTCGACGAGTCCAAGCCTGACTCGACGAGTCAGCTTGTCAGAAGGAGGGAATCTCGGGTTTTCTTGTTGTTTTTGCATTAGGATAGTTACCTTATCATGTTATATCAATATTAATCCGATTATATGATATATTTGACTATATTTTTGATCTAAATGAAGATATTTATCAATTAATAAGATAATTGTTTCCTTATAAGATAATTGATTAATTATTTTGAGTAAATTGATAAATTGTTTTGCAAGAAATCATTAAATAAATCAAATATGGATAATTATGTGATTAAATGTTAATTTAAAATTATTTGTTATTTGATGCTTGTTGTTATGAAAAGTTTCATATTTTTCCCCTTTAGGTTTTATAGTTTAAATTTGAACCCAAAAGTTTTGTTGTTTTGAAATTTAAATAGTTAAAACCCTAATGTTTTGAAAAAGGTTTCAAAACTTGCCCTCAAGTTTTGGAATTTAAAATTTTGATTAAAAAGTTTAATTTTGATGTATATTTAAATTCTAAACCCTAATGTTTTGAAATGTTTCAAAACATTCCCTCAAGTTTTGGAATTTAAAAGTTGATTAAAAGTTAATTAGGAATGTTAAATTCTAAAAACCTAGTAATGTTTTGAAAAGTTCAAATCACACCCTTATGGTTTTATTAATTAATTAAGGAGTATAATTAAAAGAGGTTTAATAAATCCATAAAGTTTTGGTTTACAATTTAATTAAATTAAAAGTGTAATTGTTAAAGTTAACCACATAGTATTTTAAAAGTATAAAATACACCATGTACTATATATAACATTAAAAGTCTAACATTATATATATGTATGAGTAAAAGTCAGTCTTACCGTTAGTAGGCCTCATTCACGAAGCTGGTCTATAAGGGGTGTTTAAGGAAATTGCCTATAATATGGCAATTGAATGGGTATCCACTTTTACCCACCGCACTCTTGACTAGTGGAGGGTCGTTAGCCGAACGGGTAGGATAGGACGAAACCTTCCATTATAAGTATAATGAAATACAAAAGTAACTAAATGTTTTTACAATTTCCCAATCTTAGTTACTTATGCAAAGTGAATTGATGCAATTCCTTGAAATTACACTTCGTGCCCTTGCGAAGACGTTAGTGGAGCGTGTGTGGTTTACCGGCACACTAAATGGTTCTAAGCAAAGGTAGCAAAGGGTGACTCAATGTTTGTCATAGTTCGGTGGAGCATGTGTGGTTTACCGGTACATCGAATAAGTGACTGTAACATGTGAGGGCACCATATAAGTTTGCATGGTTATTCACACCTGCTTTGTGATCCTCGGCATCCCAGTCACAAACAAGAGGGGCATATCGAGATTTAAACATGCCATTAAAATGTTCAATGAATCTCGAAGGATCTAGGAGTTTTTCATAGATTTAAAACTTAAATTTCTTTTTCGTTTTTTATGGTGGAAATTAGTGAATCGTCATTCACTTACCTCCAAATATTCTGCAACTAGATTACGACATCCCTTTTCTAGGTTGTAGCGTATTGTGTTGGGTCCTAGCCTTAGTATCTCATTTGGGTGATTTACTAAGGACTCAATCGATCAACTAACTTGAATTTGTTTTCTCCCGTTTTGTAGATGTCAAAGTTCGAGAACTATGGTCTTCTCAAATCCCGTGGAACAAGTATTCCACATGAAGATGATATTCCACGATTCGATCGAGGAACAAGAAATCATGCTTCACTTCCTCCTCCTCCTCCAATTGTTCTCCCTAACCCACAAGATCGAAGAATTGAAAGGTTCAATATCACTAAAGTCCTATTGGAAATAAACATGAAGATGGTAAGCCCGTGTGTGCCCACGTTCTAGGAATGAAATCACACATTGATATGTTGATAATGTTGGGTGTGTCATTCCCTAATGAGTTGGCTGTAAATTGGGTTTTGTAGTCACTTCCTGAATCATATAATGAGTTCAAAAGAAAGTATTATATGATGGATCATGACGACAACCTCATTGACCTAACTTACATGCTCATTGCTGCTGAATCAGAAATGATTTGGCGAAGCAATGGAGTGTATTTTTTGGGAGAGTCAACCGACCATGCTTCCGAGGACGTTCTAAGAGAAGCGACCTGCATTTGCTGCCAAGAGAAAGGGCGTTGGATAGAAGTCTGCCCCAAGAGCCTGAAAATTCCAAAGATGGGAGAGTCAAAGAGTATGACTGCGCTTCAGGTAAAATCCACTATCTAACTTCGTTAAGTTCCTATTCATTGATTCAAAATACATGATGTGATAAGATTGCATTTCAATTTTTTGTAGGATCAGTGAAAAGAAAGAAAGCTTGGTGAAAGAGCAAGATGAATCTAATCACAAGAAATAGATCTTGATCGCATGGACTTGAAGATTAGATTTTGAGCTTAGATAGTTATGATAGAGTTGTTAGAAATTTTCCTTTTGAAATACATAGTTTTCAATGGATTTTGCATTGTAAGGACAAATGTTTTCCACTGCTTTTATAAATAAAATAAATTTTGTTTGACTTATTTATTTATTTGTTCACTTCCTTGCAATGAAATCATTATGAAAATTGATGTTTGCATATTTCTACAACAAATGGATATGATTCTTATTTATGGTGATTATGGAAATGTCGAGAATTTACCAAATAGGGAGAGTTTCTCATCGCCCAAATTTCAATTGGACAGAAATTTGGAATCATGCAACTTGGTTGCATGATGAATGAGAAATTTCATATTTGGAAATTAGACTAATTCGTTGACAAAGTGTCAAGTGAAAGGACTAGGAGATCGAGCACACAAAGTTGTGTGTTGATCAAGTCCACCATAAGAGAAACAAAGATATTCGTCATGATTTACTAAAGGTTTAGTAAATATGATTATACTTATAAGATTAAGTATAATTCAAAATTGATTAAAAGGGTTAAATCAATAGCAAAACGAATAAGAATCAAGTAGGCAGAAAGATAAAAGTTTCTCCATTCTAAGAAGAAGGGAGAGTACCTTTTATGCTTTATGATAGGTCTTAATGATTAAGAACCATATCTCAATTGATCCTCTAAGTGAGTCTTAGTACAATTGTATGTTTAAGAAGAGGAATCAAGAATTGAAGAAATGGTTAAATCAAAAGGTCAATCACAATTCGTTCCAATAACAAGTCTTAAAGTTAAGATTGTGACAATGAGTGACAAGTATTAAGAAGGTTTATAACATTCATCAAATGTGGAAAGTTGTGATGTCTTGGATAAGACAAAGGCCAACTAGGACCAATTTATGAAGTGTTTTGATAAAAGCTACACTAACTCTTGAATATTTGTTTTGTCAAGAAATGGTTATTGACAAGAGAATCTTATATGTCAAGGAGTCAGTGGGAGTCTTAATGGTCTTGAAAGGTTTCAAGAACAAATCAAATAAACCTTAAACGATCATCACTAGCACACGATTTGAGTTTTACAACC